GCTTTTTTTTAACAGGCTAATTATAACTGTTTTTAGGAGGGGTAATTATTGTTTCAACCTCTCGCTACATGGGGTAATTAATTGAGAGGGGGCAATTATTTGAGAGAGGGTAATTATTCGAGCATATACGGTATCCGTTATATGCCAACAAATTCTCTTATCTTTGCTCATATTCTTATTGTAAGACCGGTATCATCCTGAAGTCACGTGAAGAATAATGTTGCTCTAAACATTGCGCTATGTCAAGGGAAGTTCCCAGAGTAATCCATAGCATAACACAAACGGCCATTATTAAAGAGCAGATAAGAACTGGAAGGGTCAAAAAAGCGAAATTCTGCGGAAGCGGAAGCAGAAGGAACCTATCTCTAGTTTACGCCCCTATTGCTTTTTATTAATGAATTTTGCTTATATGTAAACGGAAATTCCGGCAGTGTATTGAATAACGAATTTATGGGCAAAAAAATAAATAATCATTTATATTATAAATTAGAGTAGAGTTCAGAGGGATCGGGATCCCGGGTTTTTGAATCCCGATTTCGGCCAATCCCGATCTCGTATCGGGATCCGGGATCTGTATCACCATTCCAAAATCCGATACCGCTGAACTCTAAATTAGGGATAAATCATATTTAGAGAAAAAGTGATGGTTTTTAAAATTGCTATCGCTTAGGTAGCTGTCTCCTCCAATCAAATATAAAAAATGTATATGTAAGCAAGGTGGTATTTAAACCTTGGATATTTAAAATCAAAACCTTACTGTAATTTATTTAAATATTTTTTAAATTATATTTAAATTTAAATACAGTATTTTTCCTAATAATGCGATCGGTCGGTTTATTTTTCAACCTTCCTTTAGGGGGTCGGTTTATTAAAAGGGGTCGGTCTAATATAGACAGTCGCACTATTAGGAAAAATACAGTAGTTGTTTTTATTTAATGAAAAAAGCAAAAAGGAAGGCAATCACGCATTTCGATCATCTGATATACAATAATAAACATCACGTGCATTTCATAGACAGGTGATATTGACAAATAATTTAAATAAATAAAAATAAATTATTTAAAATAAAATCAAGTTAATAAACATTAAAGTTAAACATTTAACTTTGTTATATCCTTTCGATCCAGTATTGGAGATATCACTTAGAAGCTTTCCTGGCCTAATTAAAAAATAATTATATAAATTAGTTAACGATTAAATTATTTAATTAAAATTGTTGTAGGAATAATATTAAAATTTATTTTTCATTAATTGGGTTTTATTTAAAAAATCCTTTAAAATAACTGAATAATTTTATAAAGTACCATTTAGGCAAAAATGATACAAAAATTTAAAATGTGCTTGCAAGGCTAGCATAGCAAAAATGGAAACTGCCAGTCATGGTGGGATGTTGTGGGGATAACAATATTATTTTGAAGAATTTCCTAAATCAATCCTACTAATCTTTGCAATGGATTCAGCTACTCTACTTTATTAAAGCTTTTTCTCCCGAGACAGAACATTTTGTCAAATTTTTAAATTAAAATAAAATATAGCTAGCTTGTTATTTTTTGACACAAAATAAGTTTGGTTGAGAATTTCAAATCTCTTATGACAATTTATGGAAGAATGTTGTTTAACTTATAAATCAAATACTAATTTAAATTTATCTAACATTTAAAATAAAATTTACGAATAACAAAACTAAAGAAATATGCTTAAATGAATTCCAACAGGAATTGAATATTTTTGAATGAAACATCAAAATTTAAAAAATATAAAATAAATTCTAAAAGAATGTCTATAACGTTTATATATGTTGTTTATATGTATAAGTCACACAATTTGGTGAATATGTTCATCTAGCTATAAAAAATTCAGTTTCAGATTTCCTCCTGTTAAATAAAAAAAAATTTTTGTAGAAATTATTTATGTATATAATTCATAATAATATTTTAAATTAAATTATTTTTTTTGTTCAAATTTTATTAAATGGTATTTATTGTTTTTTTTATTTTCCTTAAGAATTTTTAATAAATATGTATATGAATGAAATGAATTTTATAATTATTTCAAATTAAAAATTATTTATTTAAAAAATTATTTCAAATCATTTATTGTTATAATCACTTTTAAATGGATGCCGGAAACTAAAATTTTAAAAATATGTAAAAACGGAATCCAAAAGATTGTGTTCAGATACACATATTGCTGGTTTATATGCCCAAAACACCTATGTATTTTCGGTTTCGGTTATTTAAAATTAAAATTTTAACCAAATATTAATAAACAACCCAACTTTTTAAGCAACCTTTTAAATCAACAGAATTAAAAAGTCGATCACTTATGTAGAAGTTGATTTCCCTTTTCCATTTCCTTGTTTCTTTTTTACTATTTTATCAAATTGTTTTTCTCGCCCCGCTTTAATCTTTTGTGGAGATTTACTTGTCATACCATAAGCGGTATCTTCTGTTTGGGTATCAGGTTTTTTCGAAGATTTTTCTTGTTCTAATTGTTCGTAGTTGTTTGTATTTGGACGGGGTGAAGAAACAAAACAAGTAAAAATTAAGAAAAGCAAAAATACTAATAAAACAGCTACTTTCATTTTTTGCTTGTTTTTTTAACCTTTTTGTTGAAAATATTTAAAATAATCTGAAAATACATACATATCAGGATTGCGTCGTAATTACGAATTACGAATTACGGCGTTTTTTGAGTTACGAATTACGATTCCAAAAAAAAATTTTCAATTACAACGCAACCCTGAACATAGTATAAAGGTTTAATTTTTATTTTTATTATATACGATGTTCATGCATGGCGTGGAAAAATTCATATGACGGGAGACGGAATTGAACCATAGCGGAAAGGGCCCAAAACCGAAGCACAACCGACTGTGCCACCATCTAACGCAATGCGGGTTATTTTTTATTTATATTCTTTCTGCAAGTATGGACACAACAATTTTCATTTCAAATCATTTTCGATTAAAAAATGTTTATTCATAAAAAAACTCTTTTCTGTCAGAAAAATAAATTTTTCTTTGAGTTTCAAGTTTTCTTTGTCGCAGGATTTTTACAGGGTTTGGGACTTTACAGGGTTTGGGACCTGACACTCCAATCCGAGGTTTTTGCGATTTCCTATTTCCGGACAGGATTAATCTTCTTTCCGGTCCAGGAAAGAAGAAAAAACTACGAAAAGCTTTTCTGAGATATAAATTATCTATTATAGTATCCAAAGTCCCCCTCAACATTCAGGAAAAAAACATTTGCTTTATTTTTTATTTTATAATTTATAAATTAATTTTTATTTAAAAATAAATTTTTTTTTAATTTAATTTTACTTAAAGGTAAAATAAGGGCAATAAATTAAGGAATGAGGGGAGTGAATGAAGGGCAAGCTGTCAAAGCCGTCAGAAATACATACACATGATTATTGGCATGTGAGTAAATGATTGTGTAATTAATCAATTAAAAATTTTGAAATATAAAAATGTTTTTTTCACTGTTTTATGTTTTAATTTAAATTTTTTTTAAATTTAAATCATTACATCCTATAAATAAAATGTTTATTTATAAAAACAATCTTTTTATCAGAAAAATAAATTTTTCTTTGTCGCAAGGTTTTTACAGGTCTTGGGACCTGACGCTCCAACCCGGGGTTCTTGCGATTTCCTATTTCCAGACGGGATTAATCAAGAAAGTGAGGCCAGCTCTGACCGGTCCAGAAAAGAAGAGTTTTTATTTTTTAATTTGTAAATTTAATTTTTATTTAAAAATAAAATCTTTTAAAATTTATTTTTTCTTAGAAATAAATTAAGGGGGAGAATTATGTGATTACGGTAATGAATGAAGGGAAATGAATGAATTTATTTATTTTAAGCAATAGCCATAATTTTTTATTTTTAAGAGCTGTCAAACATATGATTATTGGTAAATGATTGGGCAAATAATCAATTAAAAATTTTTAAAAATTAAAAAAAAATGTTTTTTTCAGACTAATTTGTTCAATTTAATTTAAAAACAATTAAACTTATTGTGTAATTTAGAAAAAAACATATAGTTAAAAGGAGTCATTAATAGAGGGAAGGGAGTTATTCGAGATTTGAATATGCATGTGGTAGGGCATTTAATGGAAGTAATTATTGTTTAAGCCTATCATTGGTGGGGGTAATAAATAGAAGTTGGGTAATTATTTGAGGGATGGCATTTAATACAGGTTAACGGCATGATACTATATGCTAGGGTTGTACCACGTCTCCGAAAGTCGGAAAATTTGGGAGATTCCTTAAATCTCCCCGTAAAAATTTTTGTTCCGTCTGCCTCCCGAAAAATTTTCCCCGTGGCCTTCCCCGTCGGGGAAGAACCCTCTATATGCACAGAAGTACTGAAACTGCAAAAATATCCAGTAAAAACGTGTCCTAAAGTGCCCAAGCTAATGTAGAAATATTTTGAACTTATCTCATCAAGGCTTGCCCAACTCCGTTACAGTCTTTAACTATAAACCTATATTAAATAACCAGAAATTCTTTTGATTAAATACCTCGTTTTAACATAAACTCAGTACCTAATACACCTTGTTTGTAAATAAATTTTCTTCCGTCCCGATGGTGTATTAACAATAGGGTTGTCGGATAGTTGGAAATCCTCGGATATCCGATATCCGGTCTTTTTTCGGCAACCTTAATTTACAAGGGGGTCCAAGTATAGGTATTATAAATTATTCCAGTACCAATATAAAAATAAATAATGTTGTGTTTCTCTTGTCTCTCTTTATACTTAAAATTAGTATAGTAGTAGGAGAATTTCTTACTCTAGTAAAAAAAATAAATAAAAAAGACAACATTTCTTCCAAAAGCTGAATCGATAAAAAATAAAATCTGCCATTTTTTAAATAATAAAAAATTTTTTTTAAATATTTTATTGATTTTTGCTTAATATTAACAAAAATGTCTACTTAAAATTTTTTTATAAATAATTTAAAATTTATTTTTAAGTAAATAAATTTAAAATTTAAAAATAATGGAAACATTTAGTGAAGAAATGTCAAATAATTATGAAATGTTGGGTAAAATTGGAGAAGGAACTTATGGAACGGTTTTCTTTTCGAATTTTGGAATCAAAAAATAATTTATTAATTTAAAGGTTTTTAAAGCAAAAAGTAAAGAAAATGGGCAAATTGTTGCTCTAAAAATTGTTAAATTGGATGATGAAGATGAGGTTTTTTGTTTAAAAATTATTTTGAAAATTATTGGCGGTAATTAATTTAATAAAAATATAAATAGGTAATTATAACATTAAACTGTCCACTTGAATTCTGGTTGTAAATAGAACCCTTGAGGTTATTTTAAAAATACATTCATTTTTGATAATGTTGTATAGTCTCCCTTCTCATCTTCTAAAATCTAAAAATAATTTAAGGTAAAGATAATAAGAAATTAGGGCTCTATCTTAGGACTTGCGTCCCATGAAAATACATGCGTCCCAAAAATAGTACTATATACGTCCCATCAGAGTATTATGCGTCCCAAAATTGATATAAGCGCAAAACAATTTGTAAACATTTTTTTATTTTTTGCAAAATGTAAAAAATTAAATTTTCAAGGGACAACGAGCAATATAAATAATTAGCCGCGTATTTTTTCTAGATTAGATAAACACATAAAATAGTTTCAACTTTTTTTGTGTCTTATGCTATTTGTACATATATGTATGTATTAATTAGACTTTCCTCTAACAGCCTCTAAAATTTTAAAATTTTTGTTAAGCATAGTAAGAGTTATGGTCGAAAAATTCAGGGTAGTCAAATTACTGATTTTTAGCAAATACATACATATATCGAAATATCTCGCCAAAAAAGTATTTTTCAGTTAGTTTCTCACATAGAACAGCGAGGGCTTTTTAATACCGTTCGAATTATCCAAATTGGATAACTTTACGCAAAGTTCAAAATTTTGAGTTTTTGTGGTATCTCTACTCGTTTTTTTGCTTTATTTGACATTAGGGTTTTTTGTAAATTTAATGCTTAATTTAAAAATTTTATAAAATTTTGTTAATACTATCTTGTGTAACTCAGAAAGGGCTTTCGAATGGTATATTACAAGTCATATCAAATCAAAAATTTTTCAAGATAATTTGAAATTTGTAAAATATGCCTGATTCGACTTTTTCGACCATAACTTTTGAAATACCTAACCAAAAAATCTCAAATTTAATAATTTGATGGACAAACCCATGACGAACATATATGAAAAACTTCACTTGGACTGGTTTATATCTGTTTATATTATAGAAGTTTCCGCTAAAGTTCAAAAAATGTTTTCCGAGTTAGGGGTATTCTAGAGGTTCTGAAACGAGTATAAGACATAAAACTGAAAAGACTATATGTGAGATTAGAGAGCAGATCCTGGGCTTCAAAATAGCATAAGACACAAAAGAAGTTGAAACTATTTTATGTATTTATTTAACCTAGAAAAAATACGGAGCTAATTCTGATCGCACAGAAATTTTATATTTTTGATGAACAAATTTCAATATAAATTTAAGGGTGTTCCTTCATCTGCATTACGTGAGATTTGTCTTTTACGTGAACTAAGACATGGAAATGTTGTCAGATTAAATGATGTTATACATACCGACAAAACGTTGAATTTAGTTTTTGAATTTTGGTTGGCAATTTTTTAAAATTATTTTTAAAAAATAAGAAACATATTTAGCGAGTATATCCAGAACTTAGTAATTTAATTATATTTACGTAAAACAATTAAAAACAAAGTAGCTGTTATAGTAAAAAAGAATGCCATAATAAAACTTAAAAATAGTAATTGCCAAGTAAGATTGGCGGATAGTTGGAAATTTTCGGATATCCGGATCTGATTTCCAAACCGAAAATTTTCGGATAGGTAAACGGCCTTTTTCGGATTCGGATCGCTAACATAAGTGCCTAGTAATATCTTAAACACATTTTTGACAAATATTTTTTTAACTGAAATTGTTTTTTAAGAGACAGTATCGGGACTTTTCCAAAGCTAAAATTAACAAAATAACTATTCTTATTAAATTCCTTTTACTAATTTAAGTGATCTAGATTTGAGAAAATTTTTTGATACATTAAATGGACATATTGAAGAGAAGGTTTATTCTAAATAAAAATTTAAAAAAATAATTTAAAAGATTATTCAATCATTAATGCAACAACTTTTGGCTGGATTAAGTTATTGCCATGCACATAATGTTTTACACAGGGATTTAAAGCCACAAGTAATTTATAGAATTTGAAAATTATTAAATTGAAACATTTAAAATTACCTTATATATTCTATTAATTATTCTGGGTAATTATTATTTCAATCTCTCGTCTGAGGGGGTAATTAATAGAAGCGGGGTAATTATTAGAGTTTATTTTATACAAGCTATTAATAACTAATTTTAAGGGGGAATTATTGCTTCAACCTCTAACTGGAGAAAGGCGGGGTAGTTATTTGAGAGAGGGTAATTAATAGAGTATATACGGTATTTAATTAAGACCCGAATTAAATAAAGTTTCTAACTACTAAATTAATAAACTGAAGGGAAATCTTTATATAAATGAATCATTTTTATATCTCAAAAGATATCTATTGGTGGATATTCTTTAGAACCCACAGAGAGATTGATCTTTAATGGAAACCATAGAAACAGTTAATTTTTAACGAGTGATTACTCGATAATTAAACATTTTTTACAAGTAAGACCACTAATACATATTAACAAAAATTACTTAATAAAATAATATAAGTTACTTTTAAACTACAACCATAAAATTAATTTATTTTTATTCAGAATTTGTTAATTAGCAACAACATTAAAGACTCCCCTCCCCAATTAAAATTGGCAGATTTTGGATTAGCAAGGCCTTTTGGAATTCCTGTAAATTTTTTAAATAGAAAAAATTTAAATTAAGAAAATATAAAATGTTAAGTACTAAAAACATTTTTTAATTTTTTTAAATTCTTTTGAAGGTTCGCTGCTATAGTGCTGAAGTTGTAACACTTTGGTAATTATTTGAATTTTAATTAAAATATTTTATGGATGAATTTAAAGGTATAGACCTCCAGACGTTCTTTTTGGAGCAAAACTTTACAATACTTCCATAGACATTTGGTCTGCTGGATGTATTTTTGCTGGTTTTTTAAAATTAAATAAATTTAATATTTAAAAAATAATAAAGAAATTGCCAATTGTGGTAAACCGCTTTTCCCTGGTGCCGATGTTGATGATCAATTGAAGAGAATATTTAAATTATTGGGTACACCTAATGAAGTAATTTTAATTAAAAAATTTAAAATAAAGGTTCAAATAAATTATTTTTAATTTTCGGTATTCTCAAAAATCTCGATTATCGAGGTGTTTACTTGGATATCTAGCCTCGATTCTACCTCTACGGGATACCCGATGAACTAAGTGGGATACGATCCTGTATGATCGACCATGTATCTAATATCAAGATAACCTTTAACACGAATCTAAACTATCTAAAAATTTAGTTCAAATGGTTTTCATTTTTTAGATCTTTATTGCAATCTAATCACTTTTTACTTTTGTATTTTAAGACAACTGCATTAAAAGGGATATTGAAGGATTAAAAGGATTATCTCGAGATATTGTAAAGCATATAGCTATTTAATTCCTAAGGCTGTGCAGTAAGCGGCTGTTTAGTGGCTAACACAACAGTCAGGTCTAATGAAGATGCTTTTCGCTCCCAGCTGCCAATTAACCTTTTGCACATGCTAAAGGAGAGAAATAGTTATAGCCCAGCTGCTTTACTATATCTAAGGATATGAAGGATTTAGGAGTGAACACGATATCGACTTAAACCTTACAAATCTTTTGATATCCCTTAATACATAATTAGATAAGAAATTTATTTTTAACAAAAAATATTTTCTAGATAGAATGGCCAACGATGACACATTTACCTGAATATAAGCCCTATCCACCATATCATAGAGCTACAAATTGTTGGGAAAAAGCTATGTCTATTCCGAATGATTTAGCTAGGGATTTATTAAAGGTTTTTTTTTAAATATTTCTGAGAAAAAAATTAATCTTTTTAAGCGTCTTCTTGTTTGCAATCCACAGCAAAGAATTAATGCAGATGTTGCTTTGACACATAAATACTTTTCTATATCTTCAACAAATACGAATTCAATTAAGAAAGTTTAACATAAAATTTGGTTTAAATGAATTAAAAATTGATCTCATTATTTGTCAAAAAAAAAGAAATTTAATTAATAAAATAAGAGCTAATTTTTGATAATTACCCTTTCTTTAAATTTATGATTCAAAAAAGTTACATATTTATCAGAAATCTAGCCAACAAAAAAAAAATAAAATTTTGCACAGAAAACTTCGGGAATTCGTTATTTTTGGAAATTCTATTGGTTTTTGGGGATGTTGAGGTCTAAGTTAGCCAGATAATAATCCTTGAACGAATTAGAGTTTGACCCCGAACGCTCAAAGGCGGGTATGTCGGGGTGTGGGGTTTTCCAATTGTTTCGGGGCGGGCTTCGGGCCGGGGAGAATCGTGAAAAAATCGTTCGGGAACGGGTTCGGGGTCAAACTTTAGAACGGATCAGAGTCAAGAAATTAAAAGTCTAAAATGTTTAATGGAAAATCAATTTTATTAATGTTATTAAAAATATTTTTTTAATTTAAAAAATAATTTGGCAAGTTATCACAAATATTAAGAACGTTAGAATACAAAATAATAGCAAATGATTGTTTTTTAAATTATTCATCGATGAATTACATAAGTCATCTTGACAACAACAAACAAAATCTGAAAGAAAAAATTAAAAATTTCATATATTTTTTAAGAATTATTTTGTTTCAGTAATATCCATGTATTCACATATAAATTACAGATACAAATAGCGGTGTCAGACATGCACCGGTTGACTTTTTGATCGGCCATAATCGTTAAAAAGTATACGAATAACCATAGTTATATCTCATAACTCCATGAGTATGAATAGATGTACCTCTTTTGAAAAGATGTACCGGTGTACCCCTTGAGGTCTCAAAGGATCTTACAATATATTTCTCATTATAGTGGGATTCGACTTTGGTTATCCTTATATTTTTTAGAATAATTGGGGGCACAAAAGTAGCAGTAATTGTGGTAGCGCAAATGCTCGCGGCTTTACTTTATTTAACCCAAATAACAATTTAATTTACCAGTAGTACCGTCTTCTTCATAATTTATTGGAGAACATGCATTTCCCTAAAGAAATAATAATTACTTTAGTAATTTCCAATAATTCACCTGAGGACACTGAGCTGAAGTGGCACAATCACGGACAACTCGGCCATCATAAACATTAGCTTTTAGACAATAAGTGGGGCTAGAAGGGAATGAAGGAGAGCATCTTACCTTTTAAAAAATAAATTATTTAGGTATATTTTTACTTAAAAACTTCTTCAATTCCCAAATCAAAACCATTATTTTTATAACACGTTATATGTCCAAGTCTATCAGATATTACCTAAAATTATTTTTAAAAATTGAATTATTGAAATTAATAAAATTTACTTCTTGAGCAAATAAATTAATTAATAAAAATATAATTAAAATAAATTTTATAAAATTTTTATAAATATTTAAAAAATATTTTAACAACATTTTTATGTAAATTCTGTTAAATTAAAATATTTAATTTTAAAGGGCTGATAAATTATTATTTTAATCAAATTTATTCTGACAAATTAGCAGAATAGAATTTTTAGTGAAGTTATGGTGTAGGGTTGCCGTTTTCGAGTCGGGCAGGTACGAGTCACTTTGGGCCAAATATGTTAGGTCCCACTCGATCTTTCGGTCCGAGTCGGTCCATTTTGGCAACTATTATGAAAGTTATTAATAGAGCCCGGATGGTACTACCAACGGCATTTTTGGGTACGGACACGATACGAAATTTTCCGTATTGATGGTACGGTACCATACAAAATTCCGGGCTCTGGCTATTAATTACTAAAAGAGTACTCTAAAAATTCAAAATTAAAAGTTTAATTAATAATCAAAAAATTTTTCAATATTACAGTTATTCTATGAATTTAAAAAGGGGATAAAATAAAAAATAAAATTATTATTATAAAACATTTAAATTAAATAATATTTCTATTAAATAAAAAATAATTGTATTAATCGGATTTGGCCATAGAAAAGAGAAATAAAAACTTTCACCAAAAATAAATCCACTCATTGAACATTATTATTCTACATTATTAAATGGTAAAACTTGTTTCTCTATAAAAAGTAAATACTTGAGGATATTATTTTTTTCTTCAAAACTTTTATTTTTCTTTTAAATTTTAATTGAAATTTTGCCTTTTAAATGAGTGAAGGTTTAAGTGGAATGATACATATTTTTTTAATAAATTATTACTTTTTCGGGACCTATAACTCGTTCTAGAATCATTTCCTAAAGGAGCGAGTGGTACCTTTCGACTCACTCATCGAGAGGAATCGAATGACATACATATGTCATGTCCCGAACTTTTAGAACCGGTACACTACACTATTTCCACAAAATGTTTACATTGATAATTTTTTAAATTTAAATAAATAGCTGATAAAATTGTAAGAGATCAAATTTTAGTTTTTACGTAATACATAAATAAATATTAAAATAACAAATATTTAAAAAAAACTGTTGAATACTATTCTTTATTTAACTCAAGAGTATGTTTCTAAAGTCAACAAGTTTGCTTTTTAAGATAATATTTATTTAAAGATCAACTTTTCTCGCAGTAAAAGTTCTCAAAAGATTTTTACTTTTTATTGTAATCAATATATACTAAATATATTTACAGATAAAACTCTTATATGTAAAATATTATAATAATATCTAAAAATATTTCTAGAAATTTATATTTGGATTGGATATTTTTCAATTTTTTTAATCCATTTCCGTTAAAAGAGAGATTTTGGACATATACATAGGAGTGTTCGTAAAGGCTCTTTTGATATTTGATATTAATATACATGTAAATCCAAATAAAGTCCCTAAAATCCTTTAATACTTGACGGCATTCATTATTTTTAAATATGAATTTTACATATTATAAATCAGTTAATCTTCCCTAAAACTTTTTAAATTATTGCCAAAAGTAGGTATAGGTAAATCATTCCAGAAACATGCTTTCTGCTAATACGTGTCCGGAAATGAAAGGATACGAATTTTGAGAATAAATTAATACCACATGGATATGTGAGAATACGAAAACTTTTTTTAATTTAAAATGGAATTTAATTTGTTTGATTATTGTATAATGTAATAAAATTTTCAACATTTACTAAAAAATTTAATATTTAGAAAAGTAAAAGTAAAATAAGAAATATTTTGTTAAAAAAATATAGGTGTACCATTTAAGGCACAATTGAACAAATAATAAAATAAACGTGAGTAATTGAAAACAATAATTTTCTTTACAAATAAAAACATGAAAAAATAGTAAAAAAAAGTAAAGATGAGTCATTTCTAGATTTAAAATTTATTTTAAAATAAATGTTGAATTAAATTATAAATGTTTTTTGTGAGTGAAATTTAAAACAATGAAATATGTTTACTCAAATATGTGTCTATATTTTTATAACCCTCCGAATTAAACAATTTTTCGTGGAGTACGGTTCGAAAATTCATCAATCTGTGAGAACAATCAAAGTGAAGGAAAAATGCAACCTACCGCAAAGTAAAAAGCTGAAGTATTTGAACATAAAATCCTTTTATCAAAGCTGATTTAATTGAGAAAAAAAAAGAAGGCAACAACAAACAACAGGAACAATTCTGGAGCCAAAAGATGCATCAGAAAAAAAAAATTCCCACAACATTCAAAACACGGACCAGCTTTGTTCTGGGAATTCTTGCGCTAACAACGATGGGAGTTTTGGCAGTTTCCACTAGAGATGTAGCAAGTATAAGTGTGGAGAAGTATGGGCATGGGTTTGTAGCCTTCTGTCCATATCATCACTTCTTGGAAAAGAAGTAAACAGCCTGAGTTGGCAGCAGTATCCATGGCTGGAAATCAAATGTATCCTTTGATTTATATAAAACCAAGCCACTTTTACCCTTTGCTAGCTACTTTGGTAATCATTATTAAAACGATTTTTTAATAAATATTAAAAACTGAAAAATAGTATTAAAATATAAATTAAGTTATTTTAAATAATATTAAATTATTTTGCCAACTACAAATCACATTGAATTGTAGTCGAAGCTTGGAAGAAAAATCCTTTTCTCTTCAAAATACTAGTTCTTATTTGGGGAAATTTTTAAAAGAATCAGCCATTTTCAAAAAATTTCGGTTTTTTAAATTTTATAAAGACAGCTAATTTTTGGCAAAAAATATCAAAAATTTTGGTTTTAAAACCGGTCATCAACAACCATAGTGTAATATATTATACATTAAATTATTCAGCAAATATCATGCATTTATCTAGAGTCTAAAATAAATCACAATGACGCCGAAAAAGAAAAGTTTAGCTTGTTATAAAAATGGAGACAGAAAAAGATTGCCATTAAAGGAATATAAATCTCAAATCAGCCTTATAAAGGCTTTAAATCCTAAAAAATATAAAAAAAGCAAAAAATTAAAAAAATTATCCCTCATTCTCTCTAACAAGTAGAGCAGGGATGGGACAGGTTACCTAAAACCCGAAACCCGGACTTTCTTTCGACACAAAACCCAATCCGACGAATTTTCGTAAACACAACCCGAAACCCGATATTTTTCATGGAATTTTATTCCATAAAACAAAAAATTCTGGTCTCTTAGCATTCCAAATTCTCAAAATTTTCGCCTCCGGCGGTAAAAAAGGAAGAAATATAGCTTCTTGATCTTCCAAAATTATCAGAAATTTAGCCTGCGGCGATTCGATATCTTCACCAGATACTTTTAATCGCTCTTAATCCCCAAATCCCCTTGAGATATGTATGTCCCTTATATCCCTCTTTCTTTGCGTCGTAGGTGAAAATTTTGAGAATTTCTGAAGGCCAATTGGGAACACCCAAGTTTCGGAAGGACAAATCCCTCGCTATTCCCTTAGATTCGTTAAAATATCTGGATATCACTAAAACTCGAAAAAAATTGTTTAAAAATCATTTAAAAATAAATGTTAATCTGATTTCTATCTTCGCATAATCTTAACTAATCTTACGAATTTCTCTAAATTAATCTTAACGAAATTTCTCTAAATCTTAACGAAATTTCTCTAAATTAAAATTTTATTTTATTTTATTTTTATTTTTGTTTCCTTTATCTAAATACATAATCTATATAATTTTTCCCATACATTCTTTGTTTTCCTACACATACATTAATGTTTGGCCTTAAACCTATAAAATTAGTTTTGTGTTCTTGCTTCCTTGACTTCACTCTTTTATATGTTCTTCGTAAACATTAATTCTCACTTTTGCTTTACATTAGCAGCTTTTCCTACCTTTGCCTTAATATAATTTATATTTGTGAAATAAATAAAAATTTGATTGGAAAAAGAAGTGTTTTTGGTTTACTATTAGAGAGTTTAGGCAATTTCTCTACAGTCTTACCCAGATCCGAACTTTACCTGTTCGTTATTTTTACTCTGGTTTGAATTTATTACTCCTTATTTGTTTTTCCTGTTTATTTATATTTATTATTGGTCTGACTGATTCCTACATATATTTGGAAATTTATTTTGCTCTTTACTATTATTCTACCTGAAAAATGTCTCTCCCACTCAGAACGCAGATTAAAAACCTATATCCGGAAATTCTCGAAATTTTGGAAGCCAATAAGACTTTTCCCGTCCCTCTCCGAAACCAGGGACAATCGGATCATATTTATTTCTCCCAGATCCGTGCCTACCTCCGAGAATTGGAGGTTACACTTTCCGAGGCCTCCGATAACCTAACCGACCTGTCTACTACTCATGACCAATGGATGGACCTAAGAGTAAAAATGACTGGTCCCGAACGCACCCACGACAATGAAGTTTATGAGGAATTTACGAAAACCTGCCCGTACCCTTCTCTTATTGGCAAACTGAAAAAATACGTCCGATCCTTGACCGCTCAAAAAAATGAACTAACCGCAATTTTACCCGGCAATAATTCCAATAGCCCTCCTCCTACCGCTACCACTGCATCTACCTCTTTGGCCCATCTTCCCAGAATGGCCTTACCGCAATTTTCCGGGAATTGTGTTGAATTCCCTTCTTTTTGGTCATCCTTTCAAGCAGCTGTTGGAGACCTACCGAACATTTCTGACTCAGTAAAACTCTCTTACCTTAAATCCTGCCTCCGTTCGGCTCCGTTAGCCGTTATCGAATCTTTCCCTCTGGTGGACCAATCTTACCCTCAGGCAGTCGATTTACTAAAACAGAAATATGAAAACCCTACCGAAATTTCCCGTTCCTTATGCCAATCCCTGAAACAACTTCCAACAGTTAGAAAAGGCGAATATTTTTGCCGTGATTTATCTTCCCTAGTTAATGAATTTGAAAGCCTAATCTGTCGATTTACTCAACAAGGAGAGAATACAGACAACATACATATTCAATTAGAAATAGAATCCAAACTACCGACTTTTGTATTAGAAGAAATCTACAGAGCTAAAGAAAATAATCCAGTTTGGTCAACAGAACTA